AAGGAAAGTGGGGGAGGTGTGATAGGAAAATATCCACAAAGCAATAATACTGTGATCTTAACGTTTACTTGTATTTAAAAAATGCCTCTGAAGTCCTGTCTCTGAGCAGGTTTCTTTCTCTCTCTCCTGAAAGTGACTGCATGCCTCATGCTCCACACTCATCCCAAAGCCCTTAGAAATCAGGACAAGTCCAGTTTAGCCAGGAGCAGTATGTTACCTGCCCTTTCTAAGACTTAAAACACCAACCCAGCCAAAGAACAATGTCACTGACAGCATTCCTGAGCACATCTGCATAAAGAAGTAGACTAAGGAACCGGGCTGTGGACTTGACTGGAGGAGGAAGTTTAAAAAGCCTTTTGAAAAGGATTCCTTCCTCTCTTGCCTCTTTGTGGACCTATGACAGTTTTTGAAAAATTAAACAATGAGGAAATGCAGAGAAAAAACATAGATGACGGTTTGGTTTTCTAAGTAAGTTGTAGTCCTCATAAAGTGTCCCCGAAAGCCTAACAAAGTACTTGCAGATATGAGTCATGAAACCTTGGAAATTTTTGACCACAAAAAGTTTTTTATTTAGAAAGCTTTTCATAAAGACTTGGAGAGAAGCCCAAATATGCTGAAAGATAAAAAAAATTACAATGTAAAACTCCAGAGGGTTGTGTGATCAGGAAAATTATTTTGAAAAAAACTGCAGAAGAGCATGCATTTAAAAGCTTAGAAGATTCATATTTCTTCACAGTATTTTGGCAGACAGTGTCTATACTATTATTAAGTTCCTTAGTTTTCTGGAACAGGATGGAGCACTGAGTGACAGCGAACACAAGAGTGTTAACGGAATAGCACACAAGTAGATGCATGTCAAGAGACACTGCCTTTGATCTCCTCTTTGCTATGAAGGATGACAGGGAGTTGTTATCCCAAAAGCACTTTGCACAGGAAATCAGGATGTGGCTGTAACAGATATTAATCCCCCAGGAGAAAGCTAAGGAGTAATTCAAGCATGGTAAAGTGCAGTGACTGAACAGTATTCAGCTACAGTAGGTGTAATACTGGAGGTTTTAGTAATACTTGTACTCATCCCTGTGCAAAGGGGTACTAATATCTACTTTATCTCTGCCTTAGGGGTCTTAAAGGGTTCTCTGGAAAAAAACAAAACAAAACAAAAGAACAAACTCTCCAGGCTTCTAGAGGTATTTAGCAAACACATAGGCATGACATGGCACCACTGTAATTTACGTTTGGAACTTACGTGCATTAAATGCTAAGTAAATATTCTTGTGAACTAAAATCCAGCTAATATTTAACCTCACTGAAAATGCTTTGTTCTACCTGTACTCATAATAACTTTATCAACTGAAAAGCATTTTGTTCTGTTAAATGGCCCAAAAAGAGCCCATCAACTTTTGCAGTGTTGTTGAGCCACTCCATATTGCTCTCCCTGTAAGAACAGTATAGAGACCATATTGCAATCAATACCGAGTGATCCCCCACAACTTTTGCTTTGTATTGCATCTCTACACTCTCTAATGACTTTCATATTATCATCAGCATTCTCTCAGGAAGTTTACATGTCAGGGATAATTAACTAGGATGGTTTGTCTTCCCTTATTAATCCCCTAAGTACTGAAAACCCATTCACCTTTGAGCAGGAGCAGCTGTGACCAACATGGCATCAGAGATGCAAAGCCAGCATTTTACTCAGAAGCACTTACTGCAATATTTCTGAGAGAATAATTAATATAACTGTTGTTGTAATTCCAGTAATAAGGTTAAAATTAAAGGCCTTTACAATTTGATTTCCCAAAACTCCATCCAAACGATTTGTGAATATGTACGTGATAGCCTGTCATGCACAATGTTGCTCTAAAAATTGCTGCCTTCCATCTGCAGAGATACTTTCCAAGTCTGTACTTTTGCAATTAGGCTCTACCTAGATGCCAAAAATTTGCTGAAAAATGAAGCCCTTGCTTTTTAATTGTATCAGTTTGCTATTTTTTTAAAACCAAATAGCTTCTTTTGATAGATCTTTGTTTTGCTTACTAATGCATATATCAGGTAAAGTAGCCTGTTTTCCATAAGGAGATTTTAATTCTGTTGTCCTAATTTTTTAGAGGGAAATAGTATAGGAAAGAAAGAAGATGTTACTATTTGCATACCAGTTCATGACATTTTTTTAAATTTAAATACATTTAGTTTGTTTGTAAAATGATTCAAAACAAGGGTTATCTAAAATACATTCATATTATTGAAAGAGTTTTGGTTGCTGAATTAACCTTTTCTAAACTTGCCACTTAATAATGTCCATCATGGACTAGAACCAGAGAGCTGTTTTTCAGCCTGTAGCAACATCACATGGATCATGGCTACCATGTTTCTTTATGTTAATTAAGGTATAGTGGTTCACCAGCTCTGCCACTACACACCTAACTTCCCGAGTGCTGGGCTGCAGCTGATTTTCAGAATCCTCTCTAAAAGCTCAAATTAATTTTTTCCAGCTTTTGCCAGTTTCTCTGAAGCAGATTCACCTCCTGGTGTAGGAGCAGACATGCTCCTGTGCGTGAGAGCTGCAGCTCAGTCAGCTCCACATTAAGTTCATTCCACAAAATTTGAGACAGTGCTTTGCTATGAGAATGGGACAGAGCCTTAACTATATCTCTAAGACAATCCTTGATAGAGCTAATTGATACCTTTTACTTCAGTCTCCCTGACACACATGGTACTCAAGATGCATTTTTATATATACAAATTCATTGAAATCACAGAATTCTCAAAAAAAAAAAAAAATAAAAAAATGGTGAAGTACATTTCATTTTTCCCCACAGGCATTCTGGTTAGCAAAGCCAACAATCTGCTATTATAGTTAACATTGGCTACTTAGGTACAGTTATGATCAACAGAACCTGGTGTTCTGATTCTAAAATATATGTTGTTTTATGCTTACTAATTCAAATTAGTTTTACCTTTAAATGAGTGAACCGTGTGTTTACAGCACATCGTCTACTCCTCTACAACACCCCTCCTTTAACTCTGAATGATTACATGATGCTTTTCCTTACCTTCTGCAACAGCAATGAAAAGGGGTACCTCATTCAATACAGAAGATCAGTTTACAGTCTGTCTTAACTTCTGTTGTCTGAGAACAATTCTATTTGAAACAGAGGGACAGAAGCAAACATACTCTGCAAGTTGTATTTATCAATAATCTCATTTCCTATGAATTTTACCCATCTATCAGGAATTTTAAAGTTTTCTGTTAAGAATTTCAGGTAATAAAATGTATTCCCTTTGGTAAACTGACAGAGTTAGCTATCATTATTCGCAGTGTTACTGCTGTAGCATCCTTAGCTTTGGTGATGACTTGGTTCATGCTCCCAGGCACCAGACAAGGGTTCACAGACCTGAGCCAGCGGCGTGTAGTGGGTGCCCAGATCTCAGCTCCTGCAGGCCCTCCCTGATTATTAAGACAAATTCTATGATAATTCAGGAGATGCAGCCTCTCCAGGCACTGCATATTGATTGATTTGGTAACTAAACACAAGAAATTGCTCAGGTGAAGAAGGAGATTTAGGAGCTGCTATTTTCACTTTAGACACTCTGCATCTTCTTCTTATTGCTAAACTGCACGAGTTCTACTCCACCAGCTTAGTTTTCTTCTTTAAAGGAGTTTTAACTCTAGCAGAAGTTTGGGAAAGGACATTACTCATTTTATCTCCTCAAAAGTAAAACGGTTCCCATTTCCTCTCCTTCTCTCCCAGTAGCCAAGTGGCAACTTCAGAGATACAGCCACTGTCCCTGAGACACTGACCTAACGATGTTCTTAGACTATTCCGTCACCTCCACGAGGAGTCACTGTGCTGCCTTTTGCATATGTGTGGTCTAAAGATACTTTGCATCTATTTGTGCCTCAGCTCTCTATGCCCTTTATAATAATGCAAAGCTGTCGGACACACAAGAAACAATTATGTAACTTACACACTAGATTTAAATTCCCAGAAGCAGGAATGCTGACAATACAGGTCAAACTTCCAATCGCTTAACCTGTGTCTTGATACTGCATGAAGTTTTAAGCAAGGAGGAAGTGGGTTGTACAACTTGGATGCAGGCTTATTCAAAGAAGCTCTGTCAGGATAAATTTTAAAAATAATATGTAATTATATAAACAAAAAACTCCAGACTATGACACTTCTAATTGCTAGAGAGTTGCCACCAAACATCTATTACTCTATGTATCAGTTTTGTGCAATTCAATAAATGGAGGAGTAGCTATTTTCTGTTACATTTAGTTAAAATATACTATTTGTTCAATGATTTTCAAGAGCTGTCAAAGCTAAGTAGTACAGCTACCCTCTACACATCTCTACATATCACAGGAAGGACTGCTATAAGTGCCTCCTATAAAAGCTTCCCAATGCCTCCCTTTATGAGACTGGGCTTTACTAAACTTGCAGCTACCCAGTTTTGGTGTTTGAACAGAATTTCCTATACCAAGTGTCATTGTGTGCCTCTTTGGGGAAGGTTAATTCAGAACAGCTCAGTCAGTCCATGGATAGGGCTAAGGAAAATCGTGAAGCTTAATATAATACAGTTGCCTAAAGAAGAAAAAGTAAAGGTTGAAAAGGCAGCATTAAGTTTAAATCTTTGGTCAAGAAAAACTAAAAACTGAAGTCATTATTATAATTGTGGAGTCAAGAGTGAGACTGGGAAGCACTAAAGGCAAATAGTCTTATGTGAAAAACACACTCAGTCTTCTGCCTCAATTTTTTTTTTTTAAGCTGAGACAACAGTGATTGTTGATAACAGCAACATGGCTTTGGAAACCCTTTCAAAATCTCCCACTGAAAACTTTAAGATACAGGCTTCAGAGGAACATCAGTAAATGAAACTGGGGATATTCTCCACAAAGGAAGTCTAGAAATTTCTGGCTAGTCAGCAACACAATACTAAATTTATAATGGCAAAAGTCAAAGTACAAATAAAGCAACCAAAAAGAAGCAACAAAAAACTCACACAAGTTTTTATTTCTTTTATTTAGAAGTAAAATAAAACATGATATTTCCATCTAGAAACAACTGGCATATGCTGCAGTAAATTCAAACATGGAGAGGTGGGCTTTGCTTTCAGATTCCTCCGAAATTCAGCTCCATCCTGTTGCACTGGAGCTTTGTGCAAGCTCTGATACACCTGAGGACACAACTGTTTAAGGCAGCCGCTGGAGCTCCAGCTTATCAGCAGACGGTGCTTCAAAGACATCATCTTCAACACTTTCTTCTATGGGCTTCATCTTTGCTGAAGTTCTCAGGTAAGGAGATGTGCGGCCTGGGCCTGTCGCAGGTACAAAGAAATTACCAGTTAATTTAACAACATACACCTGCTACACAGACCTATTTGTGACAAAGTGGATATAATCTGATGATCCTGCCCTAGCTGCTTCGTAAATCAGGGTTTCTTTGTTATCTGGCCAGAGGCACCAGGAAATTCTAGACATGGAACAGCCACACTGCTTAGAACCAGCAATGTCTGCTGCTAACCACAGACACAGCATTTCTCCCCAAGCTCAGTGCAAATCCTGACTGCACGGGGTGCCACCACTTGTTCCTCAGAGATCATTGTCTCACCATTACACTCACCCACTGACTCATCTCCATTCAACTACAGCAGCATCAGTGGCTGCCCCAAGTACAAAGGGTGTGTACATCTGCACACTGGCCTGGCTGCAGATAAGGCTCCTCAATGCACTGGGCAAACCTTGGATGGGCATATCATAAAAGCCACAACTTTAAAGCATAAACTCATAGAACATGCTGAGTTGGAAGGAACTCATCAGGATCAAATCCAGCTCCTGGCCCTGCACAGGACACCCCAAGAGTCACACCATGTGCCTGAGAGCATTGTCCAGATACTTGGACACAGCACTATTTAATTCTGCTGAGTGTGCTGCTGTGACCACTTCCCTGGGGAGCCTACCCAACCATGCCCTGTCTGAAGAGGGCTAAAAACTGACCTAGAGCTCTTCTGACACATCTTCATAAGTTTTATGCAGCATGGTAATGTAAAACTTATACAAGATTTATATCCCCATAAACAACCACAGAGAAAACAAGATTATAGGCAAAGGCCACAAAACTTTCAACTGATAATGATTTCACTGCCACAGAACTACCTTTTAGAAAGGCAGCAACTTGTCTGCCAGAGCAGAGCTCACACCACAGCTATCACTGTCAAGACATCAAATGGAGTTTTGGTGCAAGTTACCACTGCAAACTACCTCTGTTGCAGTTAAATTTTCAGTATGAGGGTCAAACCAGAGAACTCCTTTGACATCAGCTGAACCATTCTCTTTTCCATTGTTTATTCTGAAATCAAATCTACACATGGACATGTATGTTTCTCAGTACCCTCTTGTAGACTTAGACCACTGCAACAGTATGAGGTTGCAAACAGCTAGTATATGATGACCAAAAAGGTGATGGAAATCTCTGAAATCCCATTTGAGAAGAAAACAATAAGAGATAAATGCCATGTTAACAGACTGTTTGCATACAAGCTAAAAATTGAAATATTCTTGAAAAAATACTGATAGCTATGACACACTTATTTTTGAAAAAGGTTTATCAGATATAAAGTGCTGTGTTAGGGAAGTCCACTTACAAGGAAAGACTCATTTACACTGTATGTGTTACACACAGAGAACAATACACAGCCACAGGCAACACCAGCAAGTTACAATAGGAATGCATTTTAAAGTCACATTCACAAAGACACTGTTTGGAATTGGCATTTCAGAGCTTTTTATGTTAAAAATCTATTAGTATTTTCTTTTGAGATTCAGAAACTACTTAAACTGCCACAATACAGGGTTACTCAAGCATGTTTTTAGATACTGAAATTATTAAACATTTCTCTCCACACAGATGTGTTTTCTGGCCTAAGGAAAGGATAACTAGATCAATTAATTGGCTAATGTGCCCCACCCGAAGTCTGTGGGTACATTTGGATATAAGTGGCTTTTCTGTGAGACACCCAAAGGTCAAAAAGGGTGCCTAAAAATGCTGAGTTACAATTCCAGCTTCTTTTTTAGATCTTTGTTTCAGTGTAGTTTATTGTTATTTTTAAAATTGTTTCTTCTGTTTAAAACCATTTAATTCTCTCCAGAAAACAGAAGTAAGCAGTCATAAGTTTATACAACAGGATCCAATATAAAGTCTAATTCACTCAGCCTGTTTGTTTCAAAGACATGCTCTTACTTGCTCCAAACACAAAATTTTGTCTACTGATGCCATTATTGAGTGTTGGACAGATGTTCAAGTGACTGAATCAGACCTTCCTTTCACTACATTTTTTTTGCCCTTTCTTGAGAGCCTAAACCAAAATACATATTAAAATTCCAGTGAAATTCAGTCCTGCTTTTAACCACAAGCGGGGACCATATAATTTGATAATACCACTAAAAGCATTAACAAACCAAAACCTTTTTACATTCATTCCTGCTCAGCTTAAAAGTTAACAAACACAGATGCATAGACCAGCAAATCTGAGATATCGAAAACAAGTACCACAGAAAGAGAGACTGTATCTCTAATAAATACATGAATGTCTGTCAAGTAATAGAATTACAGAATAGAAACTAATACCAAAATATTATTTAAAGGACTGAAATTCAGGTGAAACTAGGCCTGTGATCAGGTTGAACTATTTTAGCTTAATTCAAATTTTGGAAAGAGATACCTCTATTTCACTTACTAATGAATTACACACAGATGGACCACGGATGTCAAGCACAAGTGTCACATGATAAACCCCACTTTAATACCTTTTTGAGGATGCCTGCTGAGTTAATGTGATGTTATCAACAGAAAACATCATGCTGCAAACGATTCACTCCGTAAGCATTATAGAACTCTTGTTGGTTATTTCCTTAATATAAAACAAACAGTTAGTTTGGTTTCTTAATTAAATTAAAAAACATACTTTTGGTAGTAATTGTAGTTTGGGACCTACTAATTAGTAATTTTAACCATTTTATTACTAAATATTTTAAAAGGAAAAAGGATTAATATTAATGCCTTGAGAAAATGAGTCAAAGGTTATCATTTATAGCACTGATAAAAGCATAATTTTAAAAGATGGGATTATACAAAAATATAAATGCTCATTTTTTCAAGAATATAGCAATTAATAGAAAAAAACTTATTTGGGTTATAGTAGTCAAAAATTATATCTGTAGTGGGAGGCTTCTGGCCACACATCACCTAGCAATGAGAAAACAGTATTCCTGTAGAGTTCCCACACAGGCAAGTTCCCTTCATTCATTTTTTTATTCTAATGAAAAAAAAAAAAAAAAAGCTTGACATTTCCATATGTTTCTCACAAAATCTTTTGAGGATTTTGGATTGTGTTTGTTTGTTCTAAAGAAACAAATGTATGCCTGTAGAAAGAGGATTCAGGGAACAGCACTGGAACTGTAAGCTTCAGCATATGCCTTATATGAAATCTTAAAAAAACAGGCAAAAAATACCCCAGCTGTTGCACTGAGAGGACCCAGCAGAGGATTTTTTTAAAACATAGCAGTGGCAAAGTAAATGGAAAGGTTTTTTTCCTTCAGTTTTTCCTGTGATCTGAAAAAAAGTGCATACATGGCCACAATCCACACTGAATATAAATCTTTAAGCAGAGCTCACCTTGGTAGCAACCCCATCATTGGCAATGACAGTACCCAAGAATAACTAACAAGCTATCTTGGCAAAAACAAAGATTGAAGCATTACAGTTCAAGGAGATGAACAAACCTACTGAAATCAGAAATTTCACAATCAAAATACAAAGAAGAAATAAATAATAATACTTCCTGAGGTGTGTGTTGCACTGGTATAGGGACAATCCCTCTGTCTCCCCAAAAGTAAGGGAAAGCATTGGATTTGGGAGGCTGCTGCCTCAGCTAGGCAGAGGAGTTTCAGAAAATAAAAGACACATAAACCCCTCTCTCTTGGGGAAAGCACACCCTGTATACCAAAAAAAAACCAAACAGGTATGCAAACAAAGGAAAAGTACAACAGAGAAAAGTGTATTTATCACGTATCTGCTAAGCACAAGTGCATCTTGGAGATTTATATAATTACAGCTGAACTTGCCATGCATTTCAAGTACTTTCTCCCAAAGCTGAAATACTGGTGTAAGAGTTTTGCTGTTAAGCCTGAAAGAGACATTTTAACTCTAACTAATCGCACAAACACAGTTTTACAATTTCTGAGCGTGCAAATTCACCCAAAGGCTCTTTATGCAAAGGACTGGCTTCAATTTCATGGAACTTTGCTGGGTGGAACAGGTGAAAAGCCACTCGAGGATTTAAACATCAGAGAACAGACCAACACAGGAGACTTCGTGGCAGGAATCTCTACAGGCTGCCTGACCAAGAAGAGCAAGTAGAAGGGAGCCTTTCTTCAACAGCTGGATCACAGGCCTTGGTGCTCGTGGGGCACTTTAACCACTCTGGTATCTGGTGGAAAGGCAACAGGGCTGGGAGCAGGCAGTCCAGGAGATCTCTGGAACGCAGCCGACAATTCCTTCGCGCCAGTGATCGATGAGTCAACTAGGGAAGGCGCTCTGCTGGATCTGTCACTGATGAACAAGGAAGAACTCATCAGGGAGAAGGCTGCTGGTCCAGGAGCTGGTGGAGTTTCAGATACTGAGTGGTGTGCAAGACAAACAGGAGAATTACAACCTTACAGGACAGGGGGCTGTGGCTTGCTCAGGGTTCTACTTGGCAGGAACTCATGGGACAAGGCCTGCAAAAGGACCTAAGGACAGATAATTATCTTTGAGGACACCTTCCTCAAAACACAGGGACAGTCCATTCCAGTGCAGAAAAAGCTGAGCAAGTATGGTAGAAGGCTGGCATAGATGAACAGGAAAGTTCTGACAGATCTCAAAACAAAGTGTAAGTGGGGATGAGCTCCTTGGAGGGAGCACAGAACCATGGCCCAAGCACGCGGTGATGAAATGAGGGAAGCCAAACCTCATCTAGACCTGGATCTAGTGAAGGGCAACAAGAAAGGCATCTACAAATAAATCAGCAACAAAGAAAGAGCAGGGTAAAAGTGAGGCAAGAGTTCAGTGATGCACAGGACACAGGAACATGAAAAAAGTATGATATATTCAAGAACTTTTTTGTTATGAGTTTTTTCTTTAGAGGTTTGTCCTGAGGCCTGATAGGGCTCTGCAGCCAGTGGTAGAGACACAGAGTGATGCTTGACTGATGGGAAACCCGGACTGAGTTAGGAACACCTCAAGTCCACAGGGTAAACACAACATTGTGGAACCACATGGGCTGCATCCAAGGGTGCCAAGCGTTGGCTGATACAATTGCAAGGCCCCCTCTGTCATCTTAGAAAGCTGACTGCAGTCAGGGGACACAAATGGAAATGCCAACATCACAGCCATTTTAATGAACAGGAAGATGGAACACCCAGGCCTAGTAGTCTAAATTCATTTCCCAGGAAGATTATGGAGCTTGGCTTTCTGGAAGCCATGTACAAGCACACAAGGGGTGGGAAGGTGACTGGGAAAGCCATCACAGATGCTGATTGCATATGACCACTCTGACCATCTTCCACCTTTGGTGGTGAGATGACAGCCTCTGTGTATGAATGGAGTGCAGTGGATGTTGTTTACATGGATGGTAGCACAGCCCTCCACAGTCAGCCATTGGGTCCTTGCAGACAAAAGGGAATCAGACTGGATAGATGGACTACAGCTTCAGTGGAAAATCTGCTGTACTGCCAAGTTCACAGGGTGGTGAACAGCAGCACAAAATCCACCTGTCAGGTGGTTAGTTACCAGCAGTTTTCTTAAAGGCCAAAGCCAAGGCCTATAATATTCAAGATACGAATGACCTGGCTGATGGCTGGGATGCACTCCTGCCAAATTCATGGAGAAGAGCCAGGTAGTAAGGGAAACTGCTGACAGGCCAAAGGGTAGGGCAGCAAGTCTGGACAGGCCATTAGAAAAAGAGAAAAGAACTGACAAAAACTACAAGTTCATGAAAGGCAAATCCTTGAACACGGGACATGGCACACCTACACAGCATTACAGCCTAGGCCCCAGCAGGTTGGAAAGCAGCTTTGCAGAAACAATCCTGGGCGTCCTGGTGGACACAAAATAGAACATGAGTCAGCAGAGTGCCCCTGCAGTGAAGTGTGCCATCCATATATTGAGCCACATAAGCAAGAGCATAGCCAGCAGGTCACTGAAAGAGATTAATCCCCTGGCAATTGTGAGACAGGATCTGGAGTGCTGCATCAGTTTTGCACCTCCCTGTACAAGAAAGACATGGACATACTGGAGCAAAGAGCAGCAGAGTGCAAGCCAGATGGACAGAGGCTGGAGCAGTGATGGAGAGACTGCAGGAGCTGGCTGTGTTCAGCCTTAGGAACAGAAGACTCCCAGGGTTTCTGACTCTTGTCTTCGGCTACCTAATGGAAAGCAACATACAAGAGAGAGCCAGACTCTTCTCTGAGGCATGCACTAAAGAAAGAAGGAAAACAAGCAGGAGTTGCAATAGGGGAAATATTTTCATCATGACGGTGTTAAGTCCCTGGAGCAGGTTGCCAGGGAGGCTGGAAAATCTTCCAGCTTGGAAATATTCAAAGCTTGACTGGACATGGCCCTTCTCCAGCTGATCTTGCTTTGGACATGAAGCTGGACCTGATAATGTACAGAGGTCTCTTACTACTTCAACTACCTCTGAATGTCCTTGCAAGGAATGGAGGAGAAAAAAAAAACAATGCTGGAATTTTCAAGAAACTATATCCTAGATGTCACCCTTGATCCTCTAGTAGGGTGAAGCACTAGTAGAGCTTTTCCTTCCATCTATCTGGGCATGCAGACTACACCAATGTTAAGGAATTAAACCAGATAGGCCCTCCAGGTCTGAAGGCGTTACTGGATGAGAACTGTGAGGAACACAATGGAAAACAGATAATTAAACAGAAAGATGCAAATATTTGAAAATATTTCCTCTTCTTAGCAGAGACTTTAAACATAACAAATAACAATAACAGTGGTTTTTTTCTCATATATTTGAATTCTAATCACTACAAAATAATATTTCCAAAATCAAAATAAATAATCCTATATGATCCTTTAAAATCCTGTTAAACTAATAGCTTATGCCAAATGCAAAAATTGAGCATCCTCTGGGGCTTTTTTATTGAAACACTGCTTTCAGAATTCAGGCTAATGTTGACATTTAGATTCAGATAATCTAAAAACAAATGACAGCAAAAGCCTATAAAGAATATTTTAGAATGTTTTCATGAAGGAATAAATTAAAAGAAGTAAAAAAGTCAGACATGGTTTCTTCTCTCACTTTATCTGTTCTCTACTACTCCTGTCATACAATGTACAGTAGAGGAGAGCTTGACAGGATACTTGGAGATTTTCCAGGTGACATCAAAGTATTGGTCATATACCACACTCCTCCAGACCCTGCTAATATAAACTATCTCAGTAGTAAAAGTAGGACACCAAGTTGCTGAGGGAACATGTTTTGTTTGGGTTTTTAATTTCTACAAACACCAGTGACGGACCAAAGGACAAACTACTGTGACCGGCACTGTACCTTCAGTTTTGCCCCATTACTATAAAAATTCCGTATTATGCCTAAGCATAAACATTATGCCAAAGATTGTTAATTACTACACGTTTGGGTCTTTTTCCAGTATGTACATGAGGTATCTGCATTTATAACACAAACCCTCACGCATCTAATGACTGCCCTGTAGTTAAGTCCCTTCATTTAGCTAATACAGCAGCACCCAAAAAGCTACAGTCTGCTCCCACAGAGGGCAACAGGAGCTCTGCAGTGGTCTCTAATGGACAACCTGAGCCATGTTCAAAACTGGAACAAACTATTCTAAGCACTCACGAAGAGAGGATGCAGAGGAAGTCCCACGAAGAAACATCTGCAAGCCATCCTCACTGTCACTGGTGCTGGCCATGCTGTTCCTCATCTGCATCACGGAGAGCTGAGAGCAAAGGCTGGGCTGCCGGTCAATCTTCTTTGAAGCCTAAAAAATAAAAAAATTATTAAGCAAAGATATCAAGCAAATTAAAATAAAAATGGAAAATTACTACTTCCCTTGTAATAGATGCTCTGGTTTCAGCCATGATTGTACAAGAAAATTTTTACAGGAGAAGATTCTATGCAGTGTAAATCAATTTAAATGACAATAGAATATGCCAGTAATATACTGGAATTGGAACATTGACAAATATGAAACTGCACATTAATTATTCAATCTCTAATTGCTTTTGTACTGAAATTTCCAAGTATTTTCTTACAGAAGCTTGGGACTTATTATCAGTATTTCATTATTTAAATATGATGCTCTGCAATTAAATGTAGTCTTTATGATGAGGCTGGTCCTCCTTGCTAAACAAAACAGCATGCTATATATAGAAGCAATTTATACCTTAATAGAAGCAAGTTCATTTTCCTGGCTTTTCATTTCATCATGTTAGAAAAGTGGTGAATGTCATTCCTTCCCAGTAGATGACCATTTGGCTCTTGATTCTACTGCAGACTAAGTGCATCAGGTGAACATAATCCCCTCCCTGTCAAATGGTCTGAGAAGCTTCCATTTTGCTTTGAGTAGCCTTCCTGAGAAGCCTTTTTACTGTAACATTTATATAAAGCCATACATTGTACCTTGTAAGGTATTACTGCAAGTCAGAATGCCATTTTAGGTGTATGTGAAAGGTAGAAATCAATGACTAGACTACAATTGATAACTCCACTGAATTTTACAAGTCTGGAACTAGCATCCTATTTCATGCAGAAAGGAATTACTATTTCCCCAATACTAGTGAAAATCTCCCTAGGCAGGAGAAAATCACGTTTCCTTACAAAATAAATTATACTTTAACAAAATATAATATACTTTTTAAAAATATATACTTTAAAAAATATACCTTTTTGTTTTCCAACAAAAAATTATTTGATAGTTTTACCTTCTTATTGAATATGAATAATCGATACTCAATTTATTTTCGTAGTCCCCTATGTACAGAAGTCAACCCCAACGTCTTCTGATGAGATTGACACCAGTTTAAAGACAAAGACACCAATAATGTTTATATTTGAAAATGAAGCTTGTGAGAGGTAATATGCACATAGAGCAATGGGAATGGGAAAATTAAGAATTAATTTAACAGTTCTCATGCCAAGTTATGTAGGAAGAGCTCATGCAACAGGATTTTTATTTTAGGAAGAATAAAAAGATACTACAACTTGCCCAAATGTGCACTCAATTTTTACAACATACATTTTCAAAACTTGCCAGCTACATAATAAACCAGCTACTATAATCTTAAATTTATGTGACAATTGCAAAAAAAAACAAGGACTCAGTACAAACTGAAGTTAAAGTGTGCAGATGTTAAGTCAAAAGGGGCAAAATTTGTTGAATTTTTTAATTCTTCAAAATTTTGATAAAGAATAAGTAAGGAGAAAAAATTAAACTAAAACAAGATAGTTCATATATCCATGAGTACATCCAGACCACTTAATGCTTTATATATTTATAAATATATAAATTATATTTTAATGATATTTATTTATATTTTATATGTATTTCATGATTCCTGCCACTAACTGCATCATATCAATGTAATGTTTGTTTTTTTTGCAGTTGCAACCCTCAAAGACACATTGAAATTATTCTTCCTAGCAATCAGTATTACATAATTGTTTGCCTTCAGTAAGAATTTTTTTAAGAAAAAAACCCTGAAGCTTCTTTTTACCAAGGCTCTCATTTGTTAGTGAGAAAGGATATCCAGGGAGAAGCACCTTTTTAGCTACTGGCCATCATGTCTAATAGTTAGGCAGAAATATTTCCACAAGCTGATCAGTTTTGAATCTGAGTTACTCATCTTTCTTGTACATTACTGTACTACCTTCAACAAATGTTGCTTCTGACAGAATGTTGCACTGACTCACACCTTGGCACTAAAACGCCATTCAGTGGCTGCATTCAGTAGCTGATGGCATAAGGTGCTTTAAGAGCATTCAAAGTTGAAGTAAAAACACATTTGTATGTGGGAGGAAAATTCCCAAACAAAACTTGAATTTTGTTACCTTGTCATTTAAGGTTGGATCATTTAATGAATAAAGTTTATTTGTAATATCTTTGCCAATAAGGTACTTAAAGATCTCATAAAGAAATGGCTCAGACTCCAGAAAGTAAGTCAGCCTTTCCCTGGACCAGCACAGGAACTTGCAGTTATCATCTGCAATAATGGTGACCTGAAAGAAAAAAAAACACAAAATGCTCAGAATAAGTACATTTAAAAATGTTTCAAGATAAGCACACTTAAACATGCTTTAAAAGAAGTGACACCATTTTATTTGTGACTCCAGTTAAAGTAACAAAGCCATAAAACTTTTTGGTATCCCTTTGTTATGAATGTGATATTTACAAATGTAAGAATTCTCAGCAATTTATTATCATTATATTTTTAACTGATATGTGTAGCCAGTTTGCTTTACTCATATATCTCATGAGTTCCCAAACTGTAAAAGCTTTTATATAAGAGGAAATTCATATATTGTCAGTCCTATAGTGATGACAAGTATTTGCAGTAGGCCTATATGTAGTTTGGTTTTATTTTACATCACTGTTACCAAACAGGAGCAACTGGTATCACCTAAAGGTCTCCATCAAAGAGTTTTTAGTGATTTAAAAAAAAAAATTCCATCTTCCTCTCGTAACTGTCAACCCTGCTGATTCCACAAGTACAGTCTTGTAGCAGTTGAGCCAAGGCTTGGATTGCTCAGTTATTGATAATCCAGTTATGGGTAGTTACAGGGAATCTTGCCCCCTCTCATGGGGGGATGGACTTGCCAGGTTCATCCCCCTGTGCCAGCAGAGGGCAATGCCACACCAAAACCCACACTGCCCATACCCAGGGGCTGGCTTTGCAAGGGGGACTCAGGCATCTATGAATAAATCAAAATCAGGCGCTCTCTGCTTTTACAGGATAACATTACATCCTGAAAAAAAATAATTAAAAATCCATTAAGTCCTAGAAGCAATGAGATACTGTCATATATCCATGGATTTTTAACTCCTCGGACTTTAATATCAGCCCGCAGGCTGAGGAAGAATTCTGCAGCATTGCCAGCAGATGGGGTCCTTAAGACTGAATCTGTGTGCTCTTGCAAATCACAAGGGAGTAACAAGAAGAACCCACGAACAAAGGATGCACACTGCTCCAGGTTACAATAACTTCCAAGGCAGGCAGAAGCTGAGGCATGACCCTTTTCCCTTGGGAGGGACCTAGGGATTCCTATCCAGCTGCTTCCGAGAGAAAGGGGCTGTGCCAAGAGGGCAGCCGGGCTCACTGCTGCGAGGTGTGTGCATCTGGACAAGTCTGTCCCCCTGGCACTAAGCCCCGTGTTTGACTGGAACATATGACATCAATCACCGATTTCAGAGTCTGCACTGCTCTGCCTCCCCCCCCTTCTGCCACGGTGTCACTGTGGATGTATCAGCCAGTCACAGTCTGGTCATTGTTACACACACCTAGCTAATGAAACATCAAGCAAGAGGTAGCAAAATAGCCATTTCTATGGGGAAAAAAAAAAGCACCCTTGCCTAAAAGTAATCCACCTCCCCAAATTACAATAAAATATATTTAATATACCAATATAATTACACTGCTAGAGAAATATGCCCTTATTGTTCCCCATATGAATATTTTATTCAAAATACTGAGATAATTTTCAGCTTGTTTCTTTAACAAACTGCAAAATGAAAGAAGTATTAATACACTTTTATAAATACCGATTTCTAATTACTAGTGCCAGAATTTCTATACTTTTGTTATTACAGTAACTGTTTTTCCCTTTTCTTTTTTTTGAACCAGTCATGAGACCTGTTCATATCATCTTTTTCCATCAAAACTGCCTATTAAATTACTTGTCCTGAACAATCTCTTAACACAAAATAAAATTGGAAACAGTAAAACAGAACAAAATAGCAAAAGCCAGACTGCTCAATACACACCATTGTATAATGGTTTTGCAGCATTTAGAAGCATTTATAACTGTTTTGCAGCATTTAAAAGTTATTCTTGATATAGTCCATCTTCAAACACCTACACTAGAAGGACAGAAAAATTATGCAAGTCAAACAGTTTACTATTGAACAAATTTATACTCTATTTTTTTTAATGGTCTCACCAGCTCATATTCAGTGACATTTAAAACAAAATGTACCTGGAATTTCTCACCCCGGTTCATCTGTGTTGATCGAAATTCAGGAGAATCTATAAAGGCACAGGGGTAAATATTATGCAGAAAATGTCCTCGATAAGACACCTTCATTCTGGAAATAAAAATGAATGAAACAATATTTTAAAATCATGAAGGCTGATTAATTTAATAAAAAATTGGGTAGGACTCCTGACAATGATAAAGCAGTAGGTAACAGGAATAAATACATTAGTCTTCTGGAACATCACTCCCAGAGCTACCCTGTTTTCTGCCTAACTGATTCCAAGCAGAACAGGCTGCCAGACAAATAGAGAATTGATGAACATGGCATGTATCCACAAAATATTGTTATTCAATATGAGAAAGGTCATGTTACACAGCCAGACCAGAATCAGACTTCCCTTAGCTAAGTAGTTTTGTGGCAATGAGTAAGAAAAGCAGTGAAGCCTGACATTGCTGTTCTGTCAAAAGAAACTGGTTCAAATATTGGCCAGAATTTAGCATGAGTTTCAAGATTACAGCTTGGCCATGGGCATATATTTTACCCTTTCTCACCTGGATTCTGTCTGCCTCTGGGCAGTGCACCTGCCCCTGTCTACTTGCATATTCAAGTGCAATGAATCAATTCCAAAGGCCTGCTGTTTTAAAGCCTACTGAAGAGATACTTCTCCCTTATGTACCATGTTTTTTAGCCTTAAAACCTGAGAATGGACTTAGGGGACCACTAGGATATCTAAGACTCAAATCTCTTGCTTATTTTGCAAGACACTGCCTTTGGAATTACACAAATATCATTCCCACAAAAATCCATGCAGCTGCACATGTAAGTAGATACACAATATGCTCCCAGTAAGAGTTATCACTGTCACCTGAAAATGGTGTCACAAAATAGACTGTAAGTATAGGCTGTTTGACTATAGACCATAACATACTACAAACAATTGCAACCTCAATAATTTTCTAATTTATGCAGCCATGACACAAAGCATATGACTGTCCCCAAGCTTTTATAGAACCTACTTCCCCTTCAGCAGGATGCTTAGCCTATCATCTACTGATGTTTTATCTTCTGCTGCATAGGCTTGACCTGTCTTCAAAGTCTGAATGTTGCAGAATTGTCCAGTTAGTCTTTGGAAGAGCTCTGGAGGCACATGGAGAGGTTCAAACATTCTCTTGTAGAGGCTGCTAAGCTCCTTCTCTATCTTGATCTAGATTGGAAAAACAAGAGGCATCAATAAACACAGAGGCATTAGTTAAAAACGGATAAGACTGCACACATGCTTTAGCTTGAGGGACATCTTTGGCTTCATTATGCTTAAGTAAGGAAAGAAGTGGTAAATGTGTAATGTCTATCCACAACACTGCCTATGATAGGGTGACCAAAACCTTATCTAAAATCAGCCAGGATGGCACACTGGTGTTTTAGAATGCTGTTCCATCCAAGTGGCACATTAAATCACATACAATGAGCCTTTTGTGATGTCTGTTGATGCAATAGTGAATAGGAAGGACTTCGGCAAGAATTATGCAGAGAAAAAAAAATTAGTTTGTCTTTCACACTGCATGCACGCATCACTGTGGCTATCCCTCAGGCTCTCCTGGGAGCCCCTCTCATCCCTGAGTTTCTTGGCTTACTTGCAATAGAAAAGCAAGTCCTGAAAAACAAACCAATTATATTGAAACCACATGTGATGAGGGAGGGAAAAAAAAAAAACCCAAAACATTGCCAGCTGAACATCCCACATCTAAGAGCCCACCCAAACTCAGGCTGCAGCAATGAGGGAAAGGATGTTGGCTGAAATCCTAAGCCTGGAAGTCTTCCCTGAATGAAGGAAGCAGGGGATGAGACAATATTACAGCCCTCCTGAAAGCAGAGGCAGCCTGAATAAAGCCTGCATATTTGCCATGAGGAAGATAAATTAGAACAGTAAGCATCAGATAATGAAAAAAATAAAATATACACAGAAGAGAGAGTAAGGAAAAACAACCAAGAAGGAACGGCAGAAAAGAAGAGGCAAGTTTCTGACTCATGTTCAGCTTTTCCCCCAGGATCTGCAGGTCCTTTTCTACAAAGCAGCTTTCCAGCTGGTCAGTCCATGGCATGTGCTGATGCGTGGTTATTCCTCCCTGGTGCAGTACTCCACACTTTCTGCTGAACTCCGTGGGGTTCCTGTTGGTCCATTTCTCCAGCCTGCTGAGAACCCTCAAGATGATTTCCCAACCTTCTGGCCTATCAACCACTCCTCACAGTTTTGTGTCATCAGGGTCCACATATGCCCCACCACCCAGACCATGAATGAAGATGTCAAACAGCACTGGGATTAGCACTGGCCCCTGGGTTACACACCACACACTGACATATGTGTTGTACACAGCTTCAACTGGACTTCTTACCTCTGATTACCACACTCAGCCCTGCCATTCAGCCAGATTTCAATCCATCTCACTGTGTTCTCATCCAGGCCACACTTCAACAGATTCTTTATCAGGATTTTATACAAGACAGTGTTGAAAACCCTACCGAATTTAACATTGAGGATATTCACCACTCTCTGGTGAATACCTATCTGGCCAGTCATTTCATCATGGAAGTTTATCATAGAATGGCTTGGGTTGGAAGGGACCTTAAGGATCACCCAGCCAAAACCCCTCTGCCATAGATAGGGACATTTTTCACAAGACCAGGTAGCATCAGATTTTCAACCTGACTTTGAACACTTCTAGGGGTTGCACATATACTGCTTCTCTGGGCAATCTGTTCCAGTGCCTCAAACCCCTCACAGTAAAGAATTCCTTCCTAATATCTAATCTAAACCTACTCTCAGTTTGAAACCATTCCCTGTTATCCTGTTACTACGTGCCCTTGCAAAATGTCCCTCTCCATCCTTCCTGTAATTTCTGTTCCAATACTGGAAGGCCACAATCAGGCCACCTCAAAGCCTTTTCTTTTCCAAGCTAAAAAAACCCAATCCTCCCAGCCTTTCCTCATAGAACACTTATATCTCTGTGCTCAGGACCTCAGAGCACCCCAAGTGGGATCTCATGAGAGCAGTCACTTCCCTTACCTGGCTGGCCACACTGCTTTTGATGGAGCTCAGGATACAGTTTGGTTTCTGTGGCTTGTGAGTGATATTGCCAGGTCAAGTCCAGCCTCTCATCCACACTAAAGTCCTTCTCTGTTGGGCTGCTCTCAATCTGTCCATCCCTCAGCCTGTGTTGTTACTGGGGGAAGCCCCAAGCAGGTGCAGCATCTTGCACTTGGTCATATTACATTTAATAGATTTCCCACTTGGGAAGATTAGCCCACTTCTCAAACTTGTCCAAGTCCCTCTGGATGGTATCCTGTTCTTCAGGTGTGTCAAACAACTCAGCTTGGTGCCATCTGTAAACTTGTTGAGGGTGAACTCAATCCCTTTGTCTATATCACTAATGAAGACAGTAAATAGCACTGGTCCCAGTACAGACCCAAACAGGACATCACTTGTCCCTGATGTCCATCTGGACTCTGATCCTTTGACCATTACCCTCTGGAGGTGATCATTCAATCACTTTCTTTTCCATCTACTACTGGACTGGTTAAGCAGGATTTCCCCTTGGTAAATCCTTGCTGACCACTCGCGATTACATTCTTTGCTTCACGTGCATAAAAATGTTTTCCAGGACTATCTATTCCTTCTTTTCAGAGATCAAGTTGAGACTGACCAGGCTGCAGGTCTCTGGGTTATCCTTCTTGTCCTTTTTGAGGAGTGACATTTGCTTCCTCTGTTCCTCACTCACTTTTCTCAGTCACCACCATTATTCCAAGACTATCAGGAATGGCCTTGCAGTGACATCAGCTCTTGAGTGATGAGTGACATCAGGGCTCGTGGACTTACTATGTCCAGTGCATCACCTGACCTAAAGTTATACTGGTTTCACATGGAATCAATTACTAGTTAAATATTCCAGAAGCAACTACACTCATATGAAATCCAGGTTTTGAATTTCCTGTATGTTCCTTATGCCACAATCTTTAATCCCTCACAGGACATCTACACAGACAAAACAAGGATTAAAAACAAATACACAAGAGGATTTGTATTATGTTAAGGTTGTCCTGAGCTGTTTGATTTCAAAATATGTTCCATATACCCACAAAGCTAGATGACTCTTTTACCATCATGTTCTCCAGGAACTTCCATTTTTAACAGCTGCACCTCTTTCTACACATGACCACTGCAACTTAAAGAAATACATTTCCATCTGAAAAAGGAATTTACGTAGCACCCAAGCCTCCTGAATCCAAAACCAGGCAAACAGACATGAGGGCAAATTTTGGCCCTGGAGTGTTAATCCAGTCTCTTAACTGGCAGATGGTTCATGTTTCATGATCTTCCTCTAGTGAGTAATACTTAGAGGGGAAAGCAGGTGTAGCCACTTTCTTAAAGACGGATCAGATTGCAGGCTGTAGCTGTGCTTTAGATGGGCTCCCTTATAACAGACCATTCCCCTTTCCCAAGCACAGCTGACTGCTCCTCCAGTCATGCTTGTGGGTCATATTCCAAACAAGCCATATGGGTAGGTGTAATGTTTTCTTCAGCAGGGGTTGAAATGTTCTGGGATGCTGCCAGAACTCCGAGTCAGAATGATTAGACTCAGCTTCCACTCCAACTAAAAAAGCCAAATTTGTAAAGCTCCAAGGAATCAAAACCACTGAAATAATCTTCTGGTCAGAAAAGAAACTCACTGTGATTTTGCATGCTCCATTTAATAAAATAAATATTTAACAACTGAACATATAAATTATTCATTTTGTAATATGACTAACTTGTAATTATTCTGCCATTCCTTTCTTTCCTTGGAAAGATCTTTTGTGAGAATTACCAAAACTGATCGAGATGAGCAATACAGCTCATACCTGCAGAGAGAAAATCTCATTCAAAAATAAAGAGTTTTAATTTTTTTCCACTATTCTTTGTCCTCCTGTAGGAAAAACACTTAAAACAGCCTTGGGGTTCCTAATAAACATGTTACACAGCTAAAAAGACATGCATGACTATCAGGCATCACTTCAAGTATGCTTGTTGATCATAGTTTGCAGCAAAGATTAATATACTTTTAATAATTACTCAAAATATTATGTATTACAGCAATTAAAATGACATAATATTTTCCATGCAATGTTCAGAAATGCTGTAATCTCTCAATGGAAATAAGACTATTGAAATTAAGCTGTAATATGCAAAGAAACAGCACTACCTGGCTAGTCTATCAGATCTAATTTTTGGCTACGCTTTTAGGTTGCTCAGGTCACACAGCACAGCTGATGGTAATCTTTGGGTGAATCTGTGTTCCCTATTGGAGGAACACTGCTGTAGGTAGAGCCTCTTCCTTTTTTAACACATGTACTCAATTTATCAACTTATTGTAGACAGATGCAATTTAACCTTTAGCCTCCTTTTATATGCTGTGGTTGCCTGCCAGAGTGTGAGCAGTGCAGAGTTTATGGGAATGCCAAGCATCTTGGTCCTGCTGTGATTACTCTGACACTGGGCAGGGGCTCACAGAAAGAGAAAGCAAAGTTAAAGGCAGGTGCTTCAGGCCTGCCCCTCTTAGATGCAATTTTTTACCAACTTTGGTGACTGAGTTTATCAGTCGAGTTTCATATTCTCACAAAATTCCTTCTTTCTGTGTCCACCCACAGAGTACTTCAATCACTTCTACCACTTAACCTAACTCCTACAAATAATTCTGCTAACAAATTTACTAGAGGATTTAGTGAAAATAGCTGCCTCTTCAATAGGATGAAATCTATACCATAATGCACAAAGCACCCTAATCTATGACAACATAGCTTTTAGTAGACAACTGTAATTATAAAAGAGTGTATTTCCTTCTTCATTCAGTATTGATTTACACGTTACAGGTGATTTTTTTGTTTGGTTTCTTTTTACTCAAGCCCAAACCAGCACATCATCTTCCCAAGATGCTTTTTCACTCACCAATAACCTTTTATTTAGATTTTTGTACCTGTCCAACCCTTTCCAAACTCAAGGACCATTACCTATTTTTAAGGATGCTACAATTCACTTTTAAAATACAGGTAAGATTAAAGGCTTGGTTTCCCAGGGAAATGGGTTTCTATCAGCTGAGCAGTCCTGCCTTTTGCAATAATGTTTGACTTTTGTGGCCATTTCCTATCCCATCTGACAGATTTCAAACCTCAAGATTAAAAAGGCTTAATTGGTGGGGGGTGGGGTTGAAGGGAAGAACATGCTAATTTGGTTGAGGGAAAAAACTACAAATGAGTTAATCTCTTAGTAGAAACCAAAGCACCTGCATGGGATATTTAAGAGTGGACACCTACAGAATAGGCAGAGTCTGGCCTTGCTGGCTATCCCTGATCATGAGTGCTATTCTGTGTGTGTGCTGGACAGCATGGCCATGGCTACCTAGCAGAAATACAATGCAGTTTCATCATGTGCTGCATCTCAGCGGTGACATAATTCAATTGAATAGGCTGAAAAAATACCATTAGTAATTAAATTTAGTAAGTGAAGAGGAAGTTACCCTTTAAGTAGTAAGATGACCCTTCAAGAGCAATTTGAACTAGAAATATTTACTACACATTGTCTAGACACAGATCAGTCTAGTTAGTTTTAAGCTACTTCCTAGGCAAGACAGAAGTCAAGCTTCATGCTGCCTTGCCAGCTAATTTCTTAGCTGCTTTCTTGCAAAGGCAGTGTTGAATTGGTGAAGAGCTTATTTTCAGTTAGGTTTTCTTTTTTTTTTTTTTTTTTAGGAATATCTTTCTAAAGCCATTGCCTCCAGTGGAGTGGGGAGGGACTTAAAAGTTAGGTTGTTTGTGGAACTACCATTGGAAAGCAAATTTGTTTGTTAGGTTTTTTTTTTTTTTTTTTTTTTTTGGTACAAGTTGTTGCACTCTTCCAGAGTGTGATTTTGGGTCAAACACAAAAGTATTCTAGTGAAAATGTGTGCTAATCCATTGGTTTGCCCAGCAAACATGGACAAAACTTCCTTTTCTTGCATCTTACTAGGGAAATTTAGCAGTTATACATACCGGTCTTCTTTTATACACCAGGTATATGAAATGCAAAAGGTTGACAACCAAAAACACAGAATTCCAGATCATTATGTCCAAGGCACAACGGTAGAGTGTAGCCCAAATGATGAATAATGCACATCCTGTAAAATTAAAAAAAAAAAAAAGGAGGAAGTTAAATTTCACCAAATGAATAATTATCATTCCTAAAAAAACATCAAGAATATGTCCACTGAGTATAATTACACTGAAAAGCAATATATTCTACAAACTTTAATACAGGTAAGCTCTCTGGATGAAGGCATACAAAAATAGCTACTGTGATTGCCAACTGCAATACTGAAATCACAGTAATTCAGATCAGGATGGGGCAAACAGAAAGGTGCAGTCCATGATGAGTTGTTACTGAAATGAAGTAGAAAAGATATGGGTAAAATTTAGGCAGCTCACAAAAATCTGCATTGCATTAATTAGACCAAAAAAGGCCATGAAATTAACGTTCACATCTAATTAGCAAGGAAGAATTATTTGTAGGAGTTGCATAAAAACTTCCTACACTCATATGCAGATATTTTTGAAAATTAAAAGAAACTATTATTGCTGATGTGACAAGGTCACATCAGGAACCTGAATTCTCCTCGTAACATGAAAGACAAAATCTCCAAATGCTTAATCTTTTTTTAGTTGCCTTACTTTGAATAATGACACTTGCTTTAAAATACAAGGCATTGTGTATGAATAGGATTCCATTTTCAGCCTACAAAGACAATATTTATTAAATGATGGATTATGTATTACTGAGTGTCTCACAGATAACTGTGAGCCTACCACCCAACAGAGATGGCTGGAGAGGTCATGGTTATATTTTCCCTTAAGCTTCCTGCAAAGGCAAAAAGGAGACAGTGCTAAATGAGAGTTCTTACTCCCTTCCCCCTGAAGATGACACTGACTTAATGAACTCAGTACTTTCTAGTCTGTATGGATTATTAACTGATGAGGCACCACTTACATATGGATTAGAAAAATCAAAATATAGTGACTCTTGATCTGCTTATTAGTAAGACTGCAAGGAATGGGAGGTCTGGATGTATTGAAGAGCAGCAATACCGCAGAGCAGCAGAGACGTTGGAGAGGGTCAAAGCAAAGGGAACAGATCCCTAGGAATCAGGCCTCATTACTCGTTCTGCCCACTGAGTAAATCTGCTCCCTGCTGCCACCCCAGCTTGCAAAGCTCTGATTCCCTGTCTGCTCATACAAGACCTACAGATCAAAATGGCAGGCTCAGCAACTGCAGAGCTCCTTTTACATTTAAAGCTAAGCTAAAAAGTCTTGCAATGCTCAGACCCTTTTTCACCAGTGCAGTGTGTTTATCCTAACTATAAAATAGAAAATGCAAGAGCATTGTAAATTCAAACAGTTCTATCATAAAACTGACCCACATTATAATGTCAATAAGCACTCCCTTAAAAATACTTGAGCATGCTCTTGTTGGATTGGATTTGTCCCTCTTACACTGCAATGAGTCACTATTCTTTCTTTGATCACAACGATATTGTCCCACACAAGGTAAAGAGGCTTTGGAATAGCTGTGAGCCTGCAATGTTACAAATCAAACCACATTCGTTCAGTCTCAAGCATGCCAAATTTAGGTTTTCTTCTCAAGTCAGAGTCTGGTGTCACAAGATTCCTACAGTGGCAGAAGGAACATGACTGATATCGGAACACAGAATACATTCCCCATTCAAAGGCTGCACTTCTAAATCAGCAATGAAAATAATGCTGGTGACCCACAAGTGCCACAGGTTTGAACCCACGTTAAAAGAACACTTGGGCTTACAGCAAGGTTCTCAAGGAAAAGTTCACCTACCTCAGGCACATTAAGCCAGTGCACCTGCCAATACACAGTCCCAGTACTTACTTAAAATAAAGGTAAAAAAGAAGTCTAAAATTGATCAGACATAACTGATTTGAAATAAGTGGATTTTAAACATCCAGTTACATCTGACGTAAATGATGTCAACTTGTTTTCAAGCTGACATCTTCATAGGTTTGAAATTGCAAATTACAGTTCTAGGAAGTTTTAAGAGCCAATGGTTATATAATCTTTCTGGAAAAGGTATATCAAGGTCAAAACAGATCCAGTCTTAGACCAAAACCACCTTCATCAGAACACAATGGCCATTAATAGAGGCAGTAATTTCACCATATGTTGCAGGGACCAGCTCCATAATGGTAAAACCCAGCCATTTATGGCACATTTCTGTCTCCAGAATTAATTCTCCTACCTATCGTGAGCAGGCCTCGCAGAAGAATCATATGAAGATTCAAAGTAGTTGGAATAACCAATCCAACTGCAAAGCAAATGTTTGCCACGTGGAAAACAAGATGATGAATCTCTTTCCAGTTTTCACATGCAGTCTCATTGAGAGGATCAAGGGTGGAATTTTTTAAGTCTGGAACAAAATCTAGTGGAGTAACAGTAAGTGGGCTCATTGCTGTTGTATTCATCCTGGAGACTCCTGCAAAGAGAGGGAAAAAATTCACTATGCATTAAACTGAAACATGGTAGATACTCATATGAATTTTAGCGTTATTTTCTCCCTTCCCAATATATATATTTCATTAGCATTCACAGAAAAAAATTAAAAATGTTTTAAAACAGTAAGCTAGGTCTATAGTTCAGTAGTGCTTTGCTAACTCTTTCACCTAAATCAGAGCTACCAAAACAGAGATGCTTCTAAGTCTGCTGCCAGTCTTTTAGGGAAATATCTTAAGTCTGCACAGACCCTTGTCTGTGTGTGGAACTACTGGAGAAATTGAGACAGCTAAAGACTATTTCTAATCTAAATATACATAGGATGTTTTTTTGTTGTAATAATAAATATAACACATATACCTTTTGCCTCAGTTAAATGGAAAAAATATCTGTGAGCAAATCCCAATACATAACAAAAAATACTATTAAAAACAAATTATAGGGAGAAAGTGGAAGGTTTCAAGTCACTGTCTTTAACATATTAAAAGCTAGTCTCTCTGAGTAACTGCAGTCAGTGTTACAAGCTCTACAGAAGGTCTCATCAATCCAGATCAGGTCTCAGCTGTAGGAGCATGACTGCTCCTAGATATGCCTGCTGTCTCTCAGTAGAAATTATATAGAGGTGGGCTTTAGTCTCATTAATGAATTATATACACTTCATCACTGAGCCAACAAGCTCCGTAACATACAATGCAGAGGGATTTCCATTCAATTAAATTCTGTAGAGACAGGACACGTCCCTAATGTGTGTCATCACTAACTGCCATGTAATTCATCTGCTCAGCAGACAATTTGGGTCCCAGTTAATACACTCTTTCCTACAGACTTGAATATATTCTGAAGCATCTCTGTTAATTGAGAGTGTTTCTCGGCCTGAGAAATAAATTTGAGTTGCTTCATCCCTTCCTTTTATTATTTTCTTGTGATTGACCAGTGTACAGGGCATAAGCAAGCTGTACAGTTTTCAAAATTAATCAGTGTTTTAGACCCCTTCTGAAAGCAGTGGGCAGAAAGAAATACTCAATCCTCTCTTATGATGGTTCATCTGCTATGCCCCGAGCCTGTCACAACTAAGGGATGCTACAGAATGTGCAGAGGCATCCTGCAGGATCACTAGCACAGATGTAGTCTATCTGTGTCTGGATTTAAGTGATTTTCAAGGGAAAAAATTATCTCATCCTAAGCATATAATCCAAAATACACAATTCACTTATTTCTTAAAATATCACTTTCCTCTTTTCATTCCTATATTAGTTATTCAGAAAGATTAATTGAAATGTGGGGGTTTGTCATAAATGCTACACTTAACTGCTAGCAAACATCAGGCCTATCCAAATACACTCCTACTTGCTTTCAGCTCTTTCACATGAGTTCATCAAGAGAGTCATTAGAGCAGCATAACTGTCCTGACAAAGCCTCTCACACAGTGAGCCAAAGCCTGAGCCCATGTGAGGCTGCAGGACTGGCATTTTAACGGGCTCATAAACAGGAGGGAATTGCTAACTGGATAACTATGTCTGTGCTCATCTTACACACAGCTCATCTGGTGCTC